AAATAAATAATTATTATATAATTTTTCATAAAATCTCAAAAAAATCTTTTAGTCAACTTACTCTTGGGTTTTTGTAGCGTAGTCAGAGTGGGTCTCATCAGAAGCTCCACCAGCAGCTAAGACAAACAATCAGTCATCATTCTGAACTCATCTATGGCTGGAACTAACATCTATGTTGATAAATAAATGAATCTGCCAATTATATGATCACTGGATAAAGAAAAGTTCATTTTATTTACTGTAAAAACATTTTCCCCCCCGTTTCCTGCCCCACGTTCAAGCCCAGATGGACTGATTAAGGTGAAACATCTTCAGAATACAGTCAAATAGACACTATCCTCGGACTAATAGATAAAGCACAATCAAATTATAATGTTTATATACAGTTAAAAAAAACATGCATGAAGGGGGTGGGTGTAAACTTTGTGAACAACAGCTGTTCCAATTCTTTGGAGCTTTCTTTGGAATTCTGCACCTACAGATTCTGTGAGTTTGCCAATGTATAAACAGAAGTTGAATTGTTGTTTTAAAAAAGGACATTTAGGAAGTATACAATACACTCACATCTACACCTCCAAACAGGTCAAAGGTGTATGTGTTTGGAAAGGTGGACTCCTGTGCCGTTTTTCTGTCCTCTGTCACAAAAGACATGGCCTCCATAGACAGCAGGGATGACAGTTCCTGTATCAGAACACCACAGTAAGTATATAATGAAATAAGACTATATAGTGGCTTTAAAACTATTTGTAAGATGTAAATAAATATACCACACCGAGAGAAGAGAATAGACAAAGATTTCACCTTCAGGACAGTGTGTGTGCGGGTGTAGTCACTGTTTAGCTGGCTGCTCTCATACAGCTCTTGGAGCAAGATTGGAATCCCATGCCATTTAGCCCTCTTATCTCTCTCCTGAAGAAGAGCTTCTGGGAGCTGGAAACAAAGAATAAACACCAACTAAATTTGCATTTCCTTAAAGAAATATCAGTTCTTACAAGTCAGCAAAAGAACATTGCTAGACTTTTGTTCTGAAATGCTATATAAAATTCTGCATCACAGTCATGACACATATCTTATTTCGGTAACACTTTATTTTAGGGTCTCTTAACTAGTTGCTTATTAGCATGCATATTACTAGAATATTAAGCCATTTATTAGTACTAATTAAGCACATATTGATGCCTTATTCTACATGACCTTATTCTACATCCCTAATCCTACCCAATACCTAAACTTAACAACTACCTTACTAACTATTAATAAGCAGCAAATTAGGAATTTATTGAGGGAAAAGTCATAGTTAATAGTGAATAAGTGTTCCCAATTCTAAAGTGTTACCCTTATTTCTATATACACACACACATACACACAAAAGTGACAGTAAAGATATTTATGTTACACACACACATATAATTATACTAAATGACATTCAATTACACACACACACACACACACACACACACACATATATATACACATACAAAAATACCATGACACAATTACATGTGTAAATTAACATGATTGCTATATTTAAACTAAAATATAATATATCATATTAAAACTAAAATTGGTTATTAATAGCATTTTTTTTTTTAAATACGCCTTGCTAACCAGTAATAAAATCCATTTGCATGTTTGACAACTAATGGCAATAATGAAATGCTATGACAATTAATTTACATGTGTATTACTTTGGATGCTGCAAAGTACCCTTTACACACACACACACACACACACACACACACACACACATATATATACACATACAAAAATACCATGACACAATTACATGTGTAAATTAACATGATTGCTATATTTAAACTAAAATATAATATATCATATTAAAACTAAAATTGGTTATTAATAGCATTTTTTTTTTTAAATACGCCTTGCTAACCAGTAATAAAATCCATTTGCATGTTTGACAACTAATGGCAATAATGAAATGCTATGACAATTAATTTACATGTGTATTACTTTGGATGCTGCAAAGTACCCTTTACACACACACACACACACACACACACACACACAGCACTTTTAATCAAATGCAAAAGACATCTAAAAAGCTATCTTTTGCATTTAATTTTGTGAAAGCTTTACAAGTTCATATGACTCCAAAGTGCTCTACACAAAGGCTACCTATTCATTTAGTTAATTAAGAATTGAATGTTCATTTTATCAGTATTTATTATAGGTAGGCTATTCTCAGCTTCCTCCCATGGTGCTTGCCATTAGACATTTTGTAATATATTACACACATTGCTTATAAAGTGTCAAGCTACTTTTAAACTAGGTCCTCTACCTTTTCATTTATTCAAAATACATGAAGAGGTACTCAGAGGAACTAGTAATAGGCTAATTTAAAAATAAATGTACAACAACACAAGAACAGTCTGGTTTAGGATACACTTTCTGCATGAGTAACAGACTGTATCTCTATTAGGCTCTGTTTCTAGGCTATTTGGAAACATCCACCAATCTGTCACCTGTCTAGAAACATTAGACAGCAAAGATTATTCTTATAGGTCCTAACGTCTTAAGTAAACCGTGCCAAACTCTGTGTATGTAGAGAAAGTGAAACTTGTGTGGTTTAAACTGAGTGAAGTTCCCAGGTTCAGATCATGTCCAACTCTATGGGACATCTTACATAATTCAAGCACTTTAAACTCGAGGCCTGAGCCAGCAGAACATCACTGCTTGGTCCAATAACCCCAAACCAAATGAGTGCAATTTGCAGATTAGGCTGGTGATGGACCAAAAATTGTTGAGAAATTCTATAAAAACACGATCTGGCGTCTAAGTTTAATGTCACAAATGTACACTACAGAAAATGACAATCTGTGGCTGTCAAACTCTATCATGCTGACTACCTTGGCAGCATTTTTAGGCTACATGACGCTCAAAAGCGCCTATAATGGTCAAAAATGCTGTCTTGGTAGGCAGCTTACTAGTCTGTGAGCGACAGCCTGTTTACTTGAAGCAGCTGATCGATTATAAACATGACATGTTTACAGATTGATCTGTGTGTGAGTATAAGTAATTATATTACTCATTCATAATAATATTATTCCATATGTCGGAGCCTTTAATTGGATTGTATTTGGACTATTTAAAGCCTCGTTTAACCCAAATTATTATCGGACAGTCAAAGCCAAGAACAACCTAATAAGTTAGGTCAGTTGACATTCGCCGTTTGAGTGGTGTGGTTTATTTTTAAGCTATATTTAGCATTTGACTTCACATGTATCAAAGGTTTAAACTACTTCCAGATCAAAGTTAAGCTTCACACTCGTCCGATTTATTTTGTTTTGTTAAATTAAAGCAGGCTGATCGACGGTTCGGAGCATAAACGCGGATCCCTGACAGCGGCTTTTCTGTCAGCAGCACAAACTCTCCCGTTTACCTGCGTCCCTCTGCTGAAGCCTCGGCCCGCGATCTGACTCTGCCGTATTCTGGTGACAATATTCCTGTTTCGACTCCATTTCTTTCCTCCCATCCAAGGGGACTCGGGCCCCAGGAGCGTCGCCATTACTTCGTCTTCCTGAACTGCTCCAAACAGGAAGTTAAAGTCGCTCTGCCTTGGATGCTCACTCGTGTGTGTTGAGCGCCCTCGTGTGGACGATGCTTAAACTGGCCATTAGAGGGCACCACGCACTGTGAGCTCAAATTCATTAAATGACAATGATAAATCGCGCGCATTGTGGTGGCAGAAAAACACTGGTAACAAGTGGAGGGAAACGGGTAAAATCCATGGGATAAGAGAAAAAAATGTATTGTTGTGCCTTTGGATGTCAGAATCAGAATGCAAATAATTTTTATATAATACTGTCGTCAAAGACGCCATTTGAAGCTAAACGCAGACGTTTAAACGGACAAAATATGGATGAAACCTGCTATGATTAACGTTACCCTACTTTTCAAGCATAAATTTGATTTAAACAATAGGTCTATATAATATTCACATAGGGGGCATATTGTATTAGCCCTAGAGTTAAAGCATGAAATACTATTTAAACCTATACCATTTTACATAACATTTACCTATTTTATCTCACAATTCTGACTTTTTTTTTCTTGCAAATGCAAATTTATATCTCCTAGTTCGGACTTTATAACTTGATACAACTCAAGAAGTGCGAGTTTGTCAATTCTGAGGAAAAAAAAACAGAAGTGTGGGATTATAAACTCGTGATTCTGAGTTGAGGGAAAAAGAAAGAATAACTAGTTGATTTTTCTTACCAGAATTGTGAGATATAATCTCGGAATTGCAAGAAAAAAAGTCTGAATTTTGAAATATAAACTCAAAATTACCTTTTTTATTCTTTTATTCCATGGTTTGCATATACTGCTACGTTAAAACCATAGACTGTATAGGTTAAAACTGGCATTTTCTGCCACCAGATAGGCTCCGCCCACGATTTACATATTTTGTAACATATTTGTTTTATATAAAATAAAAATAGTACAGTAAATTTTCTTTATAGTAAGTTTGAACTTCTATTTTTTTTTATACTTTCAACATGTATTGACCTGCCTTCTAAATAATCATTACAGCATTTCAACAACATGACGGCATATTTTCAAACTTAAAGTTAAAACTTAATGTTAAATGTTGCCCGTTTAAAAAAGAAAGAGGCCAGTGAATTAGCATGTGACAAAATATTTTTCAGTTTGAAGGGACTAAAAACAGTTGTATTTTACTTTGAATACAGGGTATTTAAAATAAATGACTATATAATAAAATTATACTTATACTTTTAAAAATAAAAGTATAAGTCATAATACAGAGTCAGCTACCTTATTTGTTACATATTTAAAGGGATTATATAATTATAAAAAACTGAGCAATTTACTCTGTAGTTTCCTAAGGTAATGCATCCTGTCCACTATGATACAAAACAACTATTACATAAAAAAATCTTGATTAAAACATACAAAAAAAAAAAAATCATTAAATAATTAACAAAACATCATGAATCATGCTTGACACTAGGAATGAATTGTGGTCAGAATGCCCACCAAATACCCAAAACATCTTTAACTTAACTTCATCAGTCTCACATGTCTGTTCTGTGTTGGATGTCACTCAGTCCTCACAGTCTGACGACTCTGTGACATAAAAATATGCTTTCATAGTCTCTCGTAATCCTTCACTGACCAGACTCTCCTGGTTAGTTCCCTTTAGCTGCCTTTGAACCATCGACCTGATGATAAACATAAAAGTTATTTCTATGGTAATACAGAACAACTAATACAAGCATTCTACTAAATTATAGTAAAAGACTAGAAAGTGTGATCCAAATAAAAACTGAACCTACCTGGACAAATCTCTCCAGTTAAGGCTGGACCTCTGGATTGCTACAGCTGTGTTGGAGTCATGAAGTAAGCAAGGTTCAGTCAGCTGACAGTACGTACCATTAGAAGACCCTGTAAATCAACAAAATTGAATATTTGTTGTCTCTGATTTATTCTAACATTCAAATGCTGTTTTTATCCTCATTAAAATGCAACAGACTGTCTTTTAACGGTGTAATAGGACTAATATTGAGTTTAAAGCACCCTTGCCATTGAGCTTACGTGAGTAATAGTCCACCAGCTGGGTGAGAGTGGAGAAGTAGTGGCTGTGGTGGACGTAGTACCAGCCATTGTGGAGCTGATGGATTCTGTAGTGCTTTACATTGTGCACATGGCCTCCATCTTGTCGCATTGAAAGTGAGTAGGAACCTACAACCAAAGGCAATGCGTTTAAAGCAACTGTAAATAATTTGTATAATTTGGACCCCCCTACAGTTAAGTGAGTGGAATTCACTGTGGTAAATACAGTGGATGTCTGTACACGTGCGTATTCTTGTGACAATATTCCTGTTTCGACTCCATTTCTTTCCTCCCATCCAAGGGGACTCGGGCCCCAGGAGCGTCGCCATTACTTCGTCTTCCTGAACTGCTCCAAACAGGAAGTTAAAGTCGCTCTGCCTTGGATGCTCACTCGTGTGTGTTGAGCGCCCTCGTGTGGACGATGCTTAAACTGGCCATTAGAGGGCACCACGCACTGTGAGCTCAAATTCATTAAATGACAATGATAAATCGCGCGCATTGTGGTGGCAGAAAAACACTGGTAACAAGTGGAGGGAAACGGGTAAAATCCATGGGATAAGAGAAAAAAATGTATTGTTGTGCCTTTGGATGTCAGAATCAGAATGCAAATAATTTTTATATAATACTGTCGTCAAAGACGCCATTTGAAGCTAAACGCAGACGTTTAAACGGACAAAATATGGATGAAACCTGCTATGATTAACGTTACCCTACTTTTCAAGCATAAATTTGATTTAAACAATAGGTCTATATAATATTCACATAGGGGGCATATTGTATTAGCCCTAGAGTTAAAGCATGAAATACTATTTAAACCTATACCATTTTACATAACATTTACCTATTTTATCTCACAATTCTGACTTTTTTTTTCTTGCAAATGCAAATTTATATCTCCTAGTTCGGACTTTATAACTTGATACAACTCAAGAAGTGCGAGTTTGTCAATTCTGAGGAAAAAAAAACAGAAGTGTGGGATTATAAACTCGTGATTCTGAGTTGAGGGAAAAAGAAAGAATAACTAGTTGATTTTTCTTACCAGAATTGTGAGATATAATCTCGGAATTGCAAGAAAAAAAGTCTGAATTTTGAAATATAAACTCAAAATTACCTTTTTTATTCTTTTATTCCATGGTTTGCATATACTGCTACGTTAAAACCATAGACTGTATAGGTTAAAACTGGCATTTTCTGCCACCAGATAGGCTCCGCCCACGATTTACATATTTTGTAACATATTTGTTTTATATAAAATAAAAATAGTACAGTAAATTTTCTTTATAGTAAGTTTGAACTTCTATTTTTTTTTATACTTTCAACATGTATTGACCTGCCTTCTAAATAATCATTACAGCATTTCAACAACATGACGGCATATTTTCAAACTTAAAGTTAAAACTTAATGTTAAATGTTGCCCGTTTAAAAAAGAAAGAGGCCAGTGAATTAGCATGTGACAAAATATTTTTCAGTTTGAAGGGACTAAAAACAGTTGTATTTTACTTTGAATACAGGGTATTTAAAATAAATGACTATATAATAAAATTATACTTATACTTTTAAAAATAAAAGTATAAGTCATAATACAGAGTCAGCTACCTTATTTGTTACATATTTAAAGGGATTATATAATTATAAAAAACTGAGCAATTTACTCTGTAGTTTCCTAAGGTAATGCATCCTGTCCACTATGATACAAAACAACTATTACATAAAAAAATCTTGATTAAAACATACAAAAAAAAAAAAATCATTAAATAATTAACAAAACATCATGAATCATGCTTGACACTAGGAATGAATTGTGGTCAGAATGCCCACCAAATACCCAAAACATCTTTAACTTAACTTCATCAGTCTCACATGTCTGTTCTGTGTTGGATGTCACTCAGTCCTCACAGTCTGACGACTCTGTGACATAAAAATATGCTTTCATAGTCTCTCGTAATCCTTCACTGACCAGACTCTCCTGGTTAGTTCCCTTTAGCTGCCTTTGAACCATCGACCTGATGATAAACATAAAAGTTATTTCTATGGTAATACAGAACAACTAATACAAGCATTCTACTAAATTATAGTAAAAGACTAGAAAGTGTGATCCAAATAAAAACTGAACCTACCTGGACAAATCTCTCCAGTTAAGGCTGGACCTCTGGATTGCTACAGCTGTGTTGGAGTCATGAAGTAAGCAAGGTTCAGTCAGCTGACAGTACGTACCATTAGAAGACCCTGTAAATCAACAAAATTGAATATTTGTTGTCTCTGATTTATTCTAACATTCAAATGCTGTTTTTATCCTCATTAAAATGCAACAGACTGTCTTTTAACGGTGTAATAGGACTAATATTGAGTTTAAAGCACCCTTGCCATTGAGCTTACGTGAGTAATAGTCCACCAGCTGGGTGAGAGTGGAGAAGTAGTGGCTGTGGTGGACGTAGTACCAGCCATTGTGGAGCTGATGGATTCTGTAGTGCTTTACATTGTGCACATGGCCTCCATCTTGTCGCATTGAAAGTGAGTAGGAACCTACAACCAAAGGCAATGCGTTTAAAGCAACTGTAAATAATTTGTATAATTTGGACCCCCCTACAGTTAAGTGAGTGGAATTCACTGTGGTAAATACAGTGGATGTCTGTACACGTGCATTTGGTCTATCAGAAGTCAGTATACCATCACAATGAGTTTGAAACCGATATTTCTAGGTAAAAAAAAAACATACAGTTGCTTTTAGAAATAGACATATTTTTTAATACAAAAGAGGGCAATCAATAAATTACTTTTGGAGCGGGGACTAACCAGGGAATGACTGGCTTTCCCGAATTAGAAAACATCCAGAGTAGTTTGGAGGCAGCATAAGAAGTTGTTCTGCATTTCTCCTTGTGATCCTTTCAAACAGCCACCTTTATTGCAAAGTTATTAAAGGACACAATTACACAATTTCCTAAATCTCTTAATCAGAAGTGATCACATTGTATGATATGATTAATTTACTCCTTAATTATGATGATGACAACATAACACACTCTCCCTGCTTATGTTTTTCTTTTTTCACCATTTTTATTGTGAGAGGATGCAGGCCGGACTAAAACCCAGGTCGCCCAAGAGCAAAAAATGCCTTTAGCATTCACTTATTTCCTTTTGTAACGTTAATAAATAAATATATGTTTGAACATGACTGACCGATTATGCACTTTGGAAACGTAGGTGTGAGGAATGAAAAACTCTGTGCCACTTGAAGAACGAACCGTCAACATGCCATTATCTCTGTAACAGAAACGAACACATTACAAACCCTGCATTCACTTCAGCAAATACTTACATACTTGTATGTCTAGAATTTTTTTTTACTTACTCTGATATAATGTTCAGGCTGTCTCCTAAAAATATAGTGTGCTCATCAGACCTTTGGGGTGGAAAGTTACACAAGGCTACCGCCATGTGCATGTGATTTCCTGATGCTAAAGTAAAACAGACACAGCTGAGGGAAATTTATACACAAACTAGATTTGAATGTGTTATTCATTTGTCGTCGAACAACATTAGGCCTAATGATAAATTTAAAAAATACACAGTAACATCTAATTGAGTAAAAGTGTTCATATATGGAAGTTTAATAGCATAATCATGCCCATACCTTCATCAGACATCACGACGGGGTCCTCCAGTCTGTAAGCAGCAGATCGATGCCAGAGTCTGCTTGTTAGACAGCCCATGTTTATTTTATGACCATGTCTGATAGATTTATGCACCGAAGCCCACTTGAAAACACAACCGAAGAAACAACACTGTACTTTAAAGTGTGTATAAGCTTCTTTACCTTTTACATACAAGCTTAACTAAAAAACAACACATACCTTCTGGAAAATATACTACAAAACAAACAAACAAATAATAATCATAATAAAGAATACAATAAATAACAAAAAAATAATAATAAAAAAAAAACAAAGCCACATATCCGAGCAATAATAAAAAAAACTGCACACACCATATCAGAAAAACAAATAATTTAAATAATAAACATGAAGAATTAAAAATACAATACATTTTAAATAAAATCAAAATAAAAGTAAAATGAAAATATGAAGAAAATTTAATAGAAGAAAATAGGTATCTGCTAAACATTGAACCAGACCATAGCTACATAAAAATACTTACTGTACTCTGTTTCAACTGTGTGCGAATATGCTGAAATTATAAGTAGATTTTCTTTGCCAACGATATGCAGTGGGCCATATAAAAGAGCATCCACTATAGAGATCCCATCACTAGATGAGTGCACAACGATGTTAATGCGACCTTCATCCTCTTGTGCGTGTGAATTGAACTGTGTTCTCTTGAGTAGGAGTTGTGGTGAACAAACCAATATGCACATGAAATTGCCTGTGCTAATAGACTATACAAATCCGTACTCTTTCTATAGTCAGCAATAAACTGTGTAATAGAAGTTATAAATAAGTGTGCAAGATGCAGTTCCTTCAGTTACAGTAAATTTCATGCAATGGATATAGATATGTAGATTGCACATATATGTGAAAGTTAAGCATATGCCATATCAATCATAAAGACAACTTTGTGTGTTGGTGATAAATTTGAGCTTCTAACATTTTCTTGGCACTGTAATATGCACCTTTTATTATTTTAAGAGGTTGTTAAAATAGTCTAACCACAACCTGAGGAAAAGGGTTGCTCGATGCGAGTACAGAAAAGTACATTTGTGGTCGGAAACTTTGCGACTTGATGATCTTCCATCTCCTATACCGTTGAGAAGTTTTTTTGAGTGATTCTGAAAATATTACTATTTTGAAAGCAAAAGTAAAAGTTATAAACGTTTAGTACTTATTAAAAATAAGCCAGAAACGTTTTATTTTCCATGACCTAACTTTATTTAGTAATTGAGAATCAGTGGACAGTGACTTTGTCAGACACTATTTCATACTCATATTAATGTCTATGAAAGCTGTCATTCCATGTGTACATCAATTTATGTTTTGATTAAAAATAATTATGTTAAAAATGGTTAGGGAGTAAATGTACAAAAGAAAAACATGATTTTATGTCATACTAAGTCTACGTTGCTACGTTGGCTTTGCATATTTAAAAGTGTTGTCCTAATGTAACTATACAAATTTTTTTTTAAATGAAAATGAAGAATGGTATTCCACTTCTTTTGTCTGATAAGTCATACAAAGTAATAGCTGACAGCTTTTAGTATAACCTATTAGAGTTTTTCATTTAAATGCAACAAAAGTCAGTACTTTTACATTCATAGGATGAACAGGAAAGTGGATTCAATGACAGAACACAACAGACATTTGTAACACAGTTAAACCGGGATGACAAATTAAACAATATCACACAGTGTAGCAAGAAAAGAGCACAAGAAAGGTCACAGGTCACACCATCAAACAAAAACTTTAATGCATGTGTTTTTAAGTGAGAGTGGTTTAAAAAAGGGAACCTTTTCACTCTAACAATCAAAAATGAGGTGGAATGTAATGCTAACAAATATAAAAAAATGTAAATTAAAATGAAAGCCTGGTGGAAGACCCTTCATGTGTAAATATATATTAGTATTTAATTTTATCTGCTTTTATGATTCAAATTTGGCTAGCGTATATTATTAACATGTAAATATTTAATATGCATACCTTCAGTATTTCATACATTTCATTCAAGCCTCCTCTGCCTCACTATTAAAGGGTTTAGAAACACATGGGAATCTAGGACACAAATAACAGGAGGTGATGGGTGAAAGGACAGCAGACAGCAGATTCTGAGCCCCAGGCTTTAGCAGGAGACCTCCATAGTTTGTGGCCTGCCCTGGTTGTCCAGGACTCCAGAGTTGGGTCCGTCCAGAGGGCTGTTCATGTTGCGGTTGCGTGAGCCATCCGTGGAAGTGATGCTGGACGAGGAGGATCGGGATCGAGACAGACGGGTCATGCCAGCCGCTGGTACTGTGAGATGAGAGAGAGATATGAGAATGTGATTACCTCAGTCTTCAGTATAATCGGGGATTGCAAGCAGAATGAAAGAACAAGCATCATGCAAGAGGAAACCAAACCGAGAATGTAATAATAGATAATCACAAGCTCATCTCGCGTCTGCCTACACAGAGTATAAATGTGTACACAGAAGCATTTCTGACAAAATGTAGACCTAGCAAACGCAGAGTAAAGACACACACAATCTAAACTAAAAAACAACAACACATACCTTTTGGAAAATAAAGAATACATTAAATAAAAAATTTAATCAATTAAAATTTTTTATATAATAATAATAATAAAATAAATCCACATACAACCAACACTAAAAACATCACATACCATAGTGGGAAAGATACCAAAATATATAAATAAATAATAAAGATGAAGAATACTGTAAGTTAAAAATTAAAACTTAAAAAAATAAAATAAAAATGAATAAATAAATAAAACAGGGTCTACACAGCTTACAAAATCTTACAAAACTTTAGTAATTGTAGTGACAGACCGATATGTTGACCAGGCCACATAATTTTTGGCATCTGTAACAGTGGTACTGAATCACTATATAGTTTAAAAACCTAACAACAGCTTTTTAAAATGGAAAATAGACATTTTATGATTTTAACCAGTTTTATTGAAATGGTTTAAACATAACACATTTTTGATAAAAATAAAACTGTGTATCGACTATTCACCACCCTGCTTTCTAGATATCTGCATAGGCCATCGAAAAACCCATATCGGTCGAAGCACTAAATATTACCATGGCAAATATCTACATGCAAATATGTCTAAACACAATCACAGAAGTGAACCATGCAAGCATGTATACATCAGTCATCAGTTAGATCACTTCCTGGGTACCTGATTCAGTGCCCAGATGGCTGAGCAAAACATGAGGAACTGTTTGCAAAGGTTAAAGGGACACAGAGAGAACAATAAGATATCTGTACAACACAGATTTTCCAAGTATTTCATGGAAAAGCTTTCAGTATTTCTGAAAACAGGCCAGATACTGTTTAGAAACTGACTGTGGTCAGGGATGTCCGTTTTAATATGTAACCTTGCAAGTTACAATCTCAACCCTGCAAATTGCCACTGTAAATCTTGCATGTGTTTTCAGCTTAAGTTTTAATGGCCTCTCCGCAGGGTCTTAAATCGCAAATCTTTTCTGCCTTGACATTTAACCACCTGAGCCTCATGCTGCATTTATGGCTCTTCGCCTACAGAGGGCGTCAAGAAGCAAAAAACATGCTCTTATATATCCTCAGATGATTATAAATATTTTTGGCACCTAAGCTAATTAAAGAGGTCATATAAATTTCTAGTTATTTTTCCCTTGAGATTCACAATGAAGTCCTCATTAAGTTCTTCATAACCATTATCAAGCTTCACTCTAACTTCCAGTACATTGTCTGGGACCACCATGTACGGCTGCCACCCCCTAGTGGGGGTCATGATGAACTTCAATTTATTTACTTAAAAAAAATGCACTTTTTGGACCTGTTTGGAAGTTTACTGTATGTTTTTTGTAGCACAATGATCTCTCTAATTTCAAGACTGAGCAAAATTAGATTCCTCATGGCGTGACCCCTTTAAAAACTCTCTAGAGCTTTAATGGCTTAATTTAAAAGCCTGGAATGAATGTTACAAGCATTATGCTCTTGAAAAGCCACTGTTGGTCCGACTCCTGTCATGACGTAAATTCCTGCCTGATTGGAACAAGGACTAAACAACAGTGCAGAAATGAAACAGCAAGTATCTTTGGAGGGGGAGGTACAGGGTCAGAGAGAGGGTGACATCTTTTCACACAGAGCGCTGGCAGCACATCGAGCGCTTTACTGGAGCGGCAAAACCTGTCAACAAATATGTGAGGAGGGCTCATTCAGAGAGCATTGCGATGTGGCGCACGTCTGTAGTTTGGAAGGAAAACTAATCAAAACAGTGCATGGGAAGACTTGCTGAGTTGTGTGCAGTAAAAAAGAAAGAAGGAAAGAACCAAAGACAGACTCCCTGAGCCGGATTTGTCTTAATAAAAGATGTCCATTAGTCATGGTGTTGTGCTGAATTGCTAATTAGCATAGCCTAGCGTCTGAGAAATGCAGATAAACAGATTGCATGTTTATAGAGAAAGCTGACCCAGATTGCGCTGCAGATTAAACAAACATCTGAAGGCAAATTCACAGGTTAGAAAAAAGTCAAACGTTAAGGTAAACTGATAAAAATACTCACTGTATCCCATTCCCTGTACAAAGTATTTGAAGGCTTCGGCCAGCTTTCCAGGCTGTTGGGAGATTAGAGGTCATTATTACATTATGCATATGTTGGTGAAGATGATAGTAGGGGCATAGGTGTTTAATAAGATGTTTAAAGGGGTCATATGATGCGATTTCAAGTTTTCCTTTCTCTTTGGAGTGTTACAAGCTGTTCGTGAATAGATAAGATCCCTGAAGTTGCAAAGACTAAAGTCTCAAAACCAAAGAGATATTCTTTATCAAAGTTAAGACTCTGCCACACCCCCCTAAAACGGCTCGCTCTAACACACCCCCACATATCTAGGTCACTATGTGGGAATATTTGCATAATGCGCCCAAATGTTCATGCAAAGAAAGAAGGCGTGGTTTCAGTAACCGCAGTTAGTGTTGAAGCAGCCATGTCAGGGAGACGCTGTGTGTTTCTAGGCAAAAGCAAAAGCACTTTATTTGGCCTTCCGAAAGTAGATGCATTTAGGAATCTTTAAGATCACTTACAACAGAACAGCAATGCATTTTATGGACGACCGTTTCATGAACCTAGATCTTTAAAAAAGCATCATATGACCCCTTTAATATCAAG